TGTGTGTGTGTGTGTGTGTGTGTGTGTGTGTGTGTGTGTGTGTGTGTATGTACTGATCTTCCATGCATCAGTTTCAGGCCCTGCTTTGCTAGTGCTGATGTTCTCGTTGCAACAAAGATTATTCAGTCTGTTTATCCTGAGAGACGCCATCAGTCCCCTGGTTTGTTTGTCCACGACCATGAAAGACGACGTAAAGAAGCAGGGTCTCTGATTTATGTTGAAACTGGAGTAGCACTGCAGAGAACAGAGGGATTATATTTGATTCTAGTGAAAGGTGCAAGAGGGGTTGTGTCTCCTGCATGTGTCACATGCAGGCTAATGTATCTTGAGGTAAAAAATGTTATGCTATGATTTCAATAAAACTACCTGCATCATTGTTACAGCAGGTTATGCTCAGGCAGACAGTAGTAATGTGCTTCTCTTTTACAGTTGGTCGATCATAACACTATTGTGGTACTGATACACTCCTCCATGCTTGTATTTTAATGTAAAAAAGCCCCTGATTGTCAGTGGTGGACAATAATGAAGTACATTTACTCGAGTGCTGTACTTAAGTACATTTTCTGAGTATCTTTACTTTACTTGAGTATTTGTGTTTTGGTTTTTTTGGAACTTATGACTTTCACTCCACTACTTTTCAAAGACAAATATTGTACTTTCGACTCCACTACATTTCTAGGAAGCTTCTTGTTACTCGTTCCTTTAGGCTCAGCTTTGTAATCCACTGTTGCTGTTTTTCTTTCCTTAAATGCAGTTGGCCAGTTGTTGATTCAGGTATTATGCTAGATTCATTTGTCAGAGTCAGAGTTTCTTTATTGTCATTTGCACCTCATGTGGTACACGTGGTGGAGCGAAATTATGTACACAAGGTCCCAGTTACATCCAACAATAAAATGTATAAGAAAAACAGTAATAACATCTAAGATATGAACTAAGAAAAACATCAACTAAATATACACTAAGCACTCATAACATAAAACCTTGAACATCAGCACAAACATGAACATGAGTCTGTGAGTGGATGTGCACGCATGAACACATCAACATTGAAACAGATCAGCAGCAACATGAAACAGATCAGCAGCAACAGGATATGGTTTTTCACAGTGATTATTCTAGTTAGAGATTCATGAGTCTAACAGCCTCAGGGTAGAAGCTGTTCCTCAGTCTAGTGGTTGTGCAGAACATTCATTGTTTTGTAAGCTTCTATAAGTATGGCAGTACTTTCAGTTATCAGCGTTACTGTTTCCTCTCCTGTGTTAAGTTGTTGCTGTCAATATATGCACTTTTACAGACAAACAATGTGATGTATGAATATTGAAGCTGAGGAAAAGACGAAATGTGCATCATCTGTTAGGATTCCCATGACTTTCTACAAACGTGTAAGATGCAGGAAGATAATATTTGTAGTTTACAAGTTTTATTAATGCATGTGGTGTTAGAGTGGTTCTACATGTCAATACATCATTAGGTGGTTTCAGAGTTAGAAGGTTCTGTAAAATCATTTAAAACAATACAGCAATGTACTGATATTAGAAAATATAATTTGTACTTTTAAATACTTGAGGATTTTTTTTTAAATGCACGTACTCTTGAATACTTAAGTATTTTCAAAAGTAAGTACTTTAGTACTTAAACTTGAGTAAACTTTTGACAGAGCAACTTTTACTTGTGGTTGAGTACGATTTGACCATGAGTATCAATACTTTTACTTAAGTACTAGAACTGAGTACTTTGTCCACCACTGCTGATTGTTGACTATTGCTGTCAATTAAATAAAATGTTGTGACCAGCTTATAGTTAGGTTATATTAGGATTTAGATTTGGAATAAACAGAAAAAAAGTCATATAACTAAATTATTTTTACCCCAAACACTACAAAACAACACATTGAATGTAAAAATAATATTCTCTGATCTAACTTAACATTCTTCCTGAAATGATCAGACTGATTAAAATTTTTTTTTTTAACTAAACATTGGTAGTCAGACTCATATCAATATGAATCTTGTAATTTGAAGACCTGAAAGGCAATGTGTACCTTTTGTAGCCTTTGGGCTTTGGCCCTGCTGTCAGTGGAGAGCTGACCTGAGCCGTGCAGCCGTAAGAGGAACAGCTCCCTTAACCCACAGCAATTACTGTCTGACAGGCTCAGGTGCCTCCCTCTGTGAGGCGGACAGCAGTCTCTACAAAGTGTGAACTCATTCACTGCCTTCTCCTCACATCTGCCACATTCAGACAGCAGCAGTACAGAAAACTCAAATGATGTTTTACATTTAGCAAGCAAATAATGAGAATTATTTCTATTTCATGTACACGGGCGGCTGTGGCTGAGTGGTTAGAGCAGTCGTCCTCCAATGCGAGAGTTGGGGGTTCGAATCCACCAGTAGTCACATGTTGAAGTGTCCCTGGGCAAGACACTGAACCCCCCATAGCCTCTGATGTGTGTCCCATCTGTGTATGAATGTGATAAAGCTCTGATTAGTCTCTTTAGAATGATTTGTTCAATTGGCTTTGTAGAGATCTAGTAGAGTGCTGTATGAATGGGTAAATGAGGACACAGATTGTGTTGTAAAGCGCTTTGATTATCTTGAAATAAGATAGAAAGGCGCTATATAAGTACAGTCCATTTACCATTTACGTTCTGTTTGTCTGTGCTAAATTAACACCTGATCCGTGCAGCCGTTGAGCTTGAGCCCTGAGTTTTCTTGCAGTGCAATGCTGGACCTGCTGCCTTTTGGATCCTGGGCTATCTGCTTACACACCCTGAGGCCATGGAAGCTGTTCAGTCAGAGATCAGAGGCCTTTCCACCCTCCAGTTAACTTCCCTGCAGCGGCCTGCCCTAAACCAGCTGGATGCACCCCATACACCTGTGTTTGGTACAAAATTGCTGCATGTGACTTTTTACAGTTCTCATTTTTGTTATTCTGTCTTTGGTTTAATTGCTTCAGCGAGACAAAACCAAAGCCATTTCCACTTGCAGGAAATGAGCAAATGACCTTTGGATCAGTTAAATAAAGATTGTCTTTTTCACATCTTCATATTGGCTCAAATGGTTGTAACTCTCCAAATTTTGCCCAAAGGCGTAGCTGATTTAACCAGCCAAGACAGCGCTCTGACATGATCCACTTTGCTGTCGTTTCCCTTTTGCAGATAGCATTTTGAACGAGACCCTACGGCTCACCGCTGCCGTGATGATCAATAGAGAAGCGGTGCAGGATAAGACTCTGCGCATGGCCAACGGAAAGGAGTACCACCTCAGACGAGGGGACAGAGTGTGTCTCTTTCCCTTCCTCAGCCCTCAAATGGACCCAGAGATTCACCAAGAACCACAGGTACATACTGGGATATTCTAATACAGTGTGCAGTGAGTTTATGTAATACAGTAGTTTTAAATGGAGACCCACCGTGTTTTTCTGTTAAAATTTGGGATGCACCAATTGCTCAGCAACTTCTCCAGTTTTAGCTTCTCTCCATTGGCTCCCTGTCAAATTTAGAATTGAATTCAAAATCTTACTTCTAACCTACAAAGCCCTCAACAACCTAGCTCCAGCTCACATTTGTATATTACAGATCTTATTGGTCCATATTTTCCAAACAGAGCACTTCGTTCTCAGACTGCAGGTTTACTTGTGGTTCCTAGAGTTTCCAAAAACAGAATGGGAGGAAGATCTTTCAGTTATCAGGCTCCTCTCTTGTGGAACCAAATTCCAGTTTCTGTCCGTTTTTTTGTTCAGTTTTTTGTCTAGTTTTAAGACTAGCATGACTAGCGTATATCTTAGATCTTTTATTATACCATTTGGCATTCGTTTAGCATTTATCTTAGTTGATATCTTAGATCCTTATTTACTGTTTCTTTTTACACTTGATATTTTTTGCTGTTGTTGGATGTAACTGGGATCCTGTGTACACAATTTTGTTCAACCTCATGTACCACATGCGATGTGAATGACAATAAGAAATCTTGAATCCTTGAAGACTGGGCTCAAGACTTTCCTTTTTCATAAATCCTATAGTTAGGGTTGGCTTGTTATGCTGCCTTAAGCTTTGACTACAAGAGGAAAAATTGACCTAATTTTCTTAAATGAATTGTTAAAATTGAACAACTTTCATTTGATACTATTTCTGTCTTAACATGTGATTCTCGACCTGCCATTCTGTATCTGTTCCTCCTTCCTGTTCCTCTCAAACCCAGCTGGTCGAAGCAAATGACCGCTTGTCCTGAACCTGGTTCTGCTAAAGGTTTTTTCCTCATGAGGGAGTTTTTCCTTTCCACTGTCACCTTCATGCTTGCTCAAGATGAGAGTTCTGTGATGGTTAAACTCAAAGCAGTCTGCTCCTCAGATAAATAATGTTAAACTTACTTTTTATGTATATAAATGTTTTTGTTCAGTGTGCCCTGAGATGACTTTTGTAGTGACTTGGCGCTATATAAATAAACTGGATTGAATTGAATTGAACTGACCAGAATTGGGCAATTTTTTGTCCGTTAGTGAAAAGCATTCCATCTTTAAACGTATCCCAACAAAGTGGCAAATTCATGCTAGCACTATCACAACTTTAGCTGTAAATTTGTTACTGAATGAAGATGAATCAATATTTTTTATTTATATCCATGTTTAATATTTAATATTCGTAAGGTATTTAAAAAATAAAGTCAGAAGAGGCTAGACAAGCTCATCAAGAAGGCCAGCTCGGTGCTTGGACGCCCCCTCGATCCAGTGCAGGTGGTGGGAGACAGAAGGACTCTAGCTAAAATAACATCATTGCTGGACAACGTCTCCCACCCCATGCATGAAGCTGTTGCTGAACTGGAGAGCTCGTTCAGTGACAGATTACTGCATCCTAATGCACAAAGGAGCGTTACCGCAGGTCCTTCCTCCCAGCAGCTGTTAGACTCTACAACCATCACTGCTCCCAACAAACTCAATAAGGACTAAATACATGCTGACCTCTGCTTAAACATACACTCTGCTTGTAATACTGTACTGTAAATAGTCTGCCATTCTCAATGTTCCAATACATATTGAACATTATTATTGATATTGTTTATCTTATTTCTTATATATTGTGTTGTTTATTAACATTTAGGAACTTTTGTGTGAAAGCTTTAAATCTTTTTATCTTTTTATCTGTTGCTGCTGTTGCTGCTGATACACTGGAATTTCCCATCCGTGGGACAATAAAGGCTGTTTCTATTCTATTCTATTCTATTGTATTCTATTCTAGGAGTTTCTCTCCTGGACCTGTTGCCTCTGTGACCCGGCTACAGATAGGTGATCAATGATGGAAATGGAGATGAAAAAAAAACAACATTGTATGATGTCAATGATAGATTGTTGGAGAAATCAGCATCGGCCTCGAAAATTATAAATAGTGCGTTTATAATTAAAAACATATATTCCATTTTACCAATATTATATCACATAAAGTTGGGTGGATTAAACAGTGTGAATTGGTGACATAAGGTTATTAATACTCTTGATTCGATGGGATTACTGGTAAAGTGAGCTCATTTATCTTTGTTTATTGTTTATCTTTGACGACTAGCAATTTTAATTACACATTATTTTTTAACAGATTCAATTCAGAACACACAACCACATTTGTTTGCGTAAGTTTATAATTAACACACATCTGTGTTTTATCCTCATCTCCTCTTAACAGATGTTCAAGTACGACCGTTTCCTTACTGAAAACCAAAAGGTGAGAAATGAATTCTACAAGGATGGGAAAAGACTGAAGTACTACACCATGCCTTGGGGCGCAGGAAAGAACAGCTGCGTTGGGAAAGAGTTTGCTGTTGCAGCCGTCAGGCAGTAAGTTTACCGATCCACCCGTCAGAGCTCTCCATCGCACGTCTTAGAGTTAAAAAATGATGCATTTGTGATCAAAGCCTTTTCAGTGGTTTCGTCTCGATTAACAGAGCTGACCAGAAAAATCCATCTTTGCGTAGTATTCTCGCCTTTAATCATTCAGCCGTGCTTTCATGTTCTCTATCATCATCATACAAGCCGTGAAATAGTAATTGCTAATACTCTGTGGTGAAATGTAAGAAAGAGGCTGAGAGCAGAGTATTTATGTGTCAGGCAAAGGTTAAAGGTCATTTCATTCATCAGAATAATTTATGCTGTTCAGTGGCTGTGTTCCTACAGTTTTATTTACTCGTTGATGCATTTTTACCCAACAGATTTGTATTCCTGCTGTTGACCCATCTTGATCTGGAGCTGTGTAACCCCGATGCCAAACTTCCACCCGTTAATCCCAGTCGCTACGGCTTTGGGATGTTGCAGCCAGACGGAGATCTGCAGGTCAGATACAGACTGAAGAGGACACAGAAAATGAAAAGTTAAATCAGTTCCAAACTGCAGACTGATAAACTAAACTTATATTTCAGTGTAATGCAACATTATTTATTCTCTTTTAATATTTAAAGTGTCTGCCTTTAAGCTGTAAAAAATAAAGTTTGCTGTGTGTGAAACCATATTTATAATAAAAAACAGAAAACTAAGTCAGCCTGTTGTTGCTCGTTTTTGCCAAACATGACTCCCAGAGAGAAAGCAGCAAGAATATATATTTTAAATCACATTATTTATCTCAAATATGTCTATTTTTCATATTTTTTTAGTGAGTCAGTTATCAAATATAACTCCCAGCTCATAGATCAGCTCTCTGACTGGTTTGATGACAGTTTTCTGGCCTCAGTACAACCAAGGAACTTTGTTTGGGAGGTAGATGGGGAGCAGCCAGCACCAGACCTATATTCAGGCCTTCTGTTATAAAAGGACAGGAAGTAGAGCAGGTGATTGAATTCAAATACCTCGGAACAATAATTGACAACAAGTTGACCTTTGAGCCCAACACTGACTGTATTTACAAAAAATCCAGACAGCGTCTCCACCTTCTGTATAAGCTAAGGAGCTTTAATGCAAAGGAAAAAACTTTTGCAGTTGGTGTACAGGTCACTGGTTGAAAGTGTTGTTTCATTTAATATTGTCTCATGGTATGGGAACGTCCTCCTAGTCTGAGACAGGAACAAGTTGTTCCGGGTGTCCAAGGTGGCAAAGTCATTGGTCATCAACAAATGAAACTTACAGACCTGTACAGTCAGGTTCTAGAAAAAAAGTAAATCCTGGTTTACAATGACCCAACTCATCCACTGAAACCATTATTCAGGTTGGTACCATCTGGCAGAAGACTTGTGGTTCCTTTAGCAAAGAGAAATGGGTTCAAATAGTCATTTGTTCCCTCTGCAGTGAATGTACTTAACAAGGTCCTATTTAAACGTAGACTCGCATAACAAACCATTGTCTGCTAGGATGTTTCCATATTTTTAATGTATTCTGTATTTTAGAATGTTTTTAATTGGGTTAGCAAAGCTTTTTAAAGTTTTTATGACATTTTTAACTTGTGTTGTGTTTTTATGAGCCAGATGTCAAAGACAAATTTCAATTCAATTCAATTCAGTTTATTTATATAGCGCCAAATCACAACAAAGTTGTCTCAGGGCACTTTACAGAAACATTCACATACATAAAAGCCAATTAGTAAAGTTCTCTATCTAAGGAATCCAGCAGACAAGTTGAATCTTGGCTTTGTTGCAGTCTCCCATCCTGAGCAAGCACAGTGGCAACAGTGGAAAGGAAAAACTCCCTTTTAAAAGGAAGAAACCTCCAGCAGAACCAGGCTCAGGACAAGCGGCCATCTGCTTTGACCAGCTGGTTGAGAGGACAGGAAGGAGAGACAGACGAACATAGAATGGTAGGTCCAGGTATAGGTCCAGGTGTTTATGAAAGACAAAAAAAAAAAAAACACATGTTAAGGATAGAAAAAATAATTACAAATACAAAACAGGTTGAGCAGAGTAAGTAAAAACAGTAGCAGAGTGAAATTTCTGGTCAGTTTGTCCTCCAGCAGTCTAAGCCTATAGCAGCATAACTAAGGGACAGCTCAGGAAACTCAAGCTGACCCTAACTATAGGATTTAGCAAAAAGGAAAGTCTTAAGCCTAGTTTTAAAACTGGATAATGTGTCAGCCTCACGGACAGAGATTGGAAGTTGGTTCCACAAGAGAGGAGCCTGATAGCTGAAAGATCTGCCTCCCATTCTGTTTTTGTAAATTCTAGGAACCACAAGTAAACCTGCAGTCTGAGAGCGAAGTACTCTGTTAGGAAAATATGGAACAATAAGAGCTGTAATATAAGATGGAGCCAGGTTGTTGAGAGCTTTGTAGGTTAGAAGTAAGATTTTGAATTCTATTCTGGACTTGACGGGGAGCCATTGGAGAGAAACTAAAACTGGAGAAATATGATCTCTCCTACTAACTCTGGTTAAGACTCTGGCAGCAGCATTTTGGATCAACTGAAGATGTTTTAAAGAAGTATTTGGACACCCAGATAATAAACCATTGCACTAGTCCAGTCTAAATGCGACAAATGCATGGACCAGTTTTTCTGCATCATTTTTAGATAAGATGTTTCTAATTTTAGCGATATTACGCAGGTGGAAGAAGGCAGTTCTAGTAACGTTTTTAATGTGGGGGATAAAAGACATGTCCTGATCAAAAATAACACCAAGATTTTTAACATTAGAGCTGGAGGACAAATTAATGCCATCTAAGAAGGGAGAAAGACTGAAAAATTAATTCCTAAGGTGCTCAGGTCCAAAAACCAAAACCTCAGTTTTGTCTGTGTTCAACAGGAGAAAATTAAGGGTCATCCAGGTTTTTATGTCTTTAAGACATGCTTGTAGTCTAAGTAGCTGATTGGATTCATTGGGTTTAATGGACAAATATAATTGTGTGTCATCAGCATAACAATGGAAATTTATCCCATTCTGTTTAATAACTTTACCTAATGGAAGAATATATAAAGTAAAGAGTATTGGCCCAAGCACTGAGCCCTGAGGAACTCCATGACTAACTTTGGTGTATGAAGAAGATTTATTATTTACATTTACAAACTGGAATCTATCAGCTAGAAATAATTTAAACCATTTTAGAGCTGTTCCTGTAATCCCAATATCATATTCAAGCCTCTGTAGTAAAATATTGTGATCAACTGTATCAAATGCAGCACTGAGGTCTAACCGGACCAGTATAGACACAAGTCCATTGTCTGAGGTCATGAGAATATAATTAGTTACTTTTACTAGTGCGGTTTCTGTGCTATGATAAGCTCTAAACCCTTACTGAAACTCTTCAAACAGATTATTTCTTTGTAGATGTTCACGCAACTGACCTGCAACTATTTTCTCTAGAATTTTTGAGATGAAAGTTAGATTAGATATAGGTCTATAGTTGGCCAGAATTTCTGAATCAAGATCAGACTTCTTAAGCAAATGTTTAATTACAGCAACCTTAAAGCTCTGTGGTACATAACCATCCATTAAAGCCAAATTAAGTAGATCCAAAATGTGGACATTAATTAGGGGAAATACCTCTTTAAACAGTCTGGTTGGGATGGGATCTAGCAGGCATGTGGGTGGTTTGGATGAGATTATTATTTTTGACAGTTCAGAGAGCTCAACAGGACAAAAAATGTCCAAACATAAATCAGGCTCTGGTGAAATTTTTAAAGTTGTCTCATTTGACAGGGGACTAGAAATAGTAGAATGAAGGATGGTTTGAATTATCTCTCTAATTGAAATAATTTTATTTATAAAGAATCTCATGAGGTCATCACTACTTATAGTTGTAGGGATACATGGTTCAACAGAAATGGGACTTTTAATTAGTCTAGCAATAGTACTAAACAGAAACCTAGGGTTATTTTTATTCTCTATTAAAGATGAGTAATATAAAGTTCTAGCTGTACAGAGAGCTTTTTTATATGTTAGCAGACTATCTTTCCAAGTTAAATAAAATTATTCAACATTAGTAGAGCGCCATTTTCTCTCCTTGTTTCTAGATGCCTGCTTTAAAGTACGTAACTCAGAATTGAACCAAGGAGCCAGTTTCCTCAGATTGATTACTTTCTTTTTCAGTGGAGCAATTTTATCAAGTGAAGTTTGTATTGAAGTTGTAAGATGATCAACTAGATGATCTAAGTCACTGTTCTCTGATGCATTACTCTGCAAGACAGAGGAAAACATTGATGGAAGAGATTGTTTAAATTTGGTTACAGCATTTTCTGATAAGCACCTGCTGAGATGAAATTTACTCTCAGTGACTGTGTAGTCATTTAATGTCAACTCAAAGATTATTAAAAAATGGTCGGACTGAATAGGATTTTGAGGAACTATTACCAAGTCCTTAATCTCTATACCAGGGGTGCCCAACCTTTTTTGAACCAAGAGCTATTTTTGAAGTCGGCAATTTGCCGAGAGCTACTCGTCCAGTCTCATTAT